TTTTTACTAAATAGAAAGTCAAGATATTGTAATTGTCTCCTCTCTGAAAGCTTTCTGGAGTAAAATTAGAGTTAAAAAGTTCAAGTTTTACCGTTTTTGACAAGAGGTTCTGCTTGTTTTTCCCTCAAAGGAAGTGAGCTGAAAATCACGCTTAGCTGATTGATTCAGTGGAAAGAAATCAATGATCTGACATCATCAAACACAGTTAAACAGAAGCCAGATAATGTTTAAGGGTTCACCAGTTCACCCTGAGACCCAGTAAGTTACTAAAGCTCTGTCTATTACTGTCAGTGCACAAACTAACTGTGCTAAAGTACTTTTAACAATTAAAGTTTTCATTGTTTTGAATAATGGGGGTGAGAGGGAGCTATACTCTGCACAGGATGCAAACCCTTCCCAACGTAAATAAATAAAGCTGCATAACAACAAAGAACAATAAGTATAAAACAAATATGAATAAGCAGGTTGAAAAATTGAGTGCAGAGGACACAGATGTTCACCTTTCAGAGGGAGACAAACAGCTGGAGATGTGGTGACTTTTATATAGTTGGAAAGACTTACACCTTTTTGATGCAATCAAACTCATGATTTAGTTTTATTAAGAATTGGGAAAAACATCTTTATGTGCAAAACATCCCATAAGTAGCAGACAAGAAAGATGTCTATAAACGGAGAGGCTGAACACAAACCCACCAAACGCTTTTCCAGGTTTTTAACTGGTGTAGATGCTCAGTCATCCGGGTCATAGTCATTTCAAAAAAATTAAATTAAAAACAATCCACTGGACTTTATTTCCGAGTTTGAAGACGTTTTGCTTACCATCCAGGAAGCTTTTTCAATTCAAACTGTCAGGAATTGAATTGACTTCCATGTTTTATACTGCAGCCCATCAAAAGTCTGTTTGAATTTTCATGTTTTCAAAACCAAACCAGGTATTTATGGGCTACTGTATAAAACCTGGAACTCAACGCTATTCCTCACATTTCGAATTGAAAAAAGCTTCCTAGATGGGAAGTGAAACGTCTTCAAACTTGGAAACAAAGTCCAGCGGATTTTTTTTTAATAAAACATTTTTGGAACAGGTTGTTAACTGTTACATTAATTAGAAAACAGTGTATTGTTTTCTCTTAAAGTACATTGTGATTTGTTTGTGATCTTTTTAGCATAAAAGCAAGACTAGAAAACACCTAATTTTGTTGTCAAGTGATGCAAAAAGTTGTAAAACAGCTTTGGTCAGGCAGTGTAAATCCAGCCCATCATCATCATCATCATCATCATCATCATCATCATCATCATCATCATCATCATCATCATCATCATCATCATCATCATCATCACTGTTTTAGGATCCAACTATGGAGGATTAATTGCCCCCCAAAATAAAACAAACAAACAAACAAACAAATAAATGTAGGTAGAAGTTAAATTATAGCTTCTTTATTTTTTCACCTTTGTAATAATTACCTTATTTATTTATTTTCTGTTATAATCTTCAACTTTATTTATTTATTTCTTACTTTTTAAGCATTTATTTATGTGCATGATATAATATTCTTATCTGTTTTATTCTTATTTTGTATTTTTTAAATAAATACAGAAATACATAAATGCTCAATAAATAAATAAGCATACAATGAATTGCCCCCAAAAATACAATAAACAAATAAATGTAAGTAGAAATGAAATTATAGCTTCTTTATTTATTCACCTTTGTAATAATTACCTTATCTATTTATTGTCCCTTATAATCTTTAACTTTTTTATTTATTATTTTTTAAAGTATTTATTTATGTGCATATATTTTTGTCTGTTTTATTCTTACTTTGTATTTTTTTTTATAAATACAGAAATAAATACTCAATAAATAAGCATACAATTATTTGCCCCCAAAAATACAATAAACAAATAAATGTAGGTACAAATTAAATTATAGCTTCTTTATTTGTCTCTGTAATAATTACCTTATCTATATTGTCCCTTATAACCTTCAACTTTATTTATTTATTACTTACTTTTTAAGCATTTATGTGCATGCTTTAATATTTTTATCTGTTTTATTCTTCCTTTAGATTTTTTTTTTACCCTCTTTATTTCTTCCATGCTATTTATTTCTGCCTGTCGTATTTACATTTCTGTATGAATTTCTGCCTCACTATGCAAACGAGGGGTGTGTCTTAGAGTCAATTTATGACACTTATGACATATGGCAGAGTTGGTCCTGCATACAGACCTTTTACTTGATGTTAGAAAATTACCTTCATACAGAACCAGTTGATGTAATTTACTTTCCTGTCTGTGTGTTTTAACAGTTTTTCTTAACCTCATTCTATAACTGGATTCATCTTCCTGCAGAAACAGTGTTAATATCTGATTATCCACTTACTGCAGCCTCCTGTTGTTGGATAACCTTTGTTATATTTCCACACAGAGCGCTTCCTTTCCCTCCTCCCTGATAAAAGACGCACCAATCCTCTGTACCAAAACAAAATGCAGGTTAATTTGGGTGTTTCTTTTACATATTTGAAAATATAACTTGAAAAACAGAACAGGGTCTTACTAAACGATCAGCCCTTCATTGATGCTCGTCGCATCAGTCGGTTTATGAGGCGCAGTCCCGTTTCCCATCCCTCCCACTCATTGCATGCGATCCCCTGCAGCGTCCCCCATTGTCAAAGCAGTGTAAATATTGTTCCTGGATCTGAAGCAGACAGGAACAGCAGACAGGACGGTGCTTGGGGCGGCGCGTTTCCAGGTTCAAAAGAAGATGAACCAACCAGAACACTTTGGGTAACAAGGTTATCAGGTTCTTTAGCAGTTTACGAAGAGCATTAGAGATAAAGGGAAAGCCGTTTCTGATGGAAATTCGGAAAGTAGTCCGCGCGCGCTACCTTGTGGCAATTTTTGGTACTACCGCCTGTCTAACAGGTCATATGGTTCAGTATTCTGACTAGTGGAAGGAGGCCATGGAAGCAAATAGTTACCATATTTCAAATGAAAAAGCATTTTTCAGAAATGCTTTTTCATTTTAAGAATGTGGCTGCATTGTTTGACCCAATGAAACTAGTAATCATCCCATTTGCATTTTTAAACTGTAGCATCTATACTTGTAAACAAAGGTGTGTACAGTTGACACCACTGCACAAACTTAGAGATTTTACCCTTTAGTATGCCCTGTGAATCTGAGCATTTATTTCTGCATATTGAACATCGGTTTGTCCTTCAGATAATATTTTCAAACTAAGGATCTAAATACAGAGAAAATTGCAACCTGGTTTGTGACAGATTGTTACAAGTGACACAATCTTAAAACCCTGACCAATACAGACATTTCCCATCTCGTCTAAGGTTTAATATGGAAACATTTGGAGGCACAGAATTTTTTTTTTATTTTAGAGTAAAGTGTTCACAAATGTGATCTGAGCAAAAAAAAAAAAAAAAAAGTAATAGGAGCTGCTCAAGTCACATTCGGTGTAAACATAGCATAAGCCTTTACACTATGGTTCTCCCCTTCACATAACCATGGCCAAGTCATTCTGGCAAAACATATATACACCAAATGCAATGAGTGCTTGCATGATTTTTTAATTGAAAACATGGCTTCCAACCATTTTAGTAGCCAGAAGACCTGCAAACAATAGAACAAGTTAAGAGTTTTAATACAGTCCACAGAGTTTTCACACCACCAGCCTTAAGGAGTCCGAGGAAAGAGTTTCTGTTGCCCAGGTTCAGGGTTCTGAGGAGAATCTAGGCCATGCTCTTTCAAGTAATGGACTTCCTGAGAGTGTTCCTTCCCTTTTTCATGGTGTTGGCTAAAGGTACTGTAGGTTCCAGGAGGGTACAGGCCATAAATGAGCATGTAATCAAACTCAGGGTAAAGAAACGGATTTTCCCAAAGGCCATGAAAATCTGGTACTGCGTACTGAAAACCCTGAACAGGCCCCACATTGGAAGCCGGGAAACCAAAATGCTCTGTTAGCTGTTCATAGTTTCCAAGCTCCGCTTCTTTTACAGAGTTGGAAGCTTCCCCTGGCTGAGGGATGGGGGCCTGAGGGACGGATGGCCCAACAATGCTTGCATCGTCAGGCTGGATGTGTGTGGTTTCTTCAAAGTTTGGAGGTGGAACAAACCAATTAATCTCTGTGACAAAAACAAAAAATGATATAAGTTTTAGATCTCCATGTGCCTTAAAGCAACTTTAGAGAACCATGTTTAAGGAATTTACCTGATGGGGCAGCCTGAGTCTCAGACTGTTCAGGAATGACAGCGTATCTCCTGTCAGCAGGCATAGATAAGCCAGCAGCATATGCAGCAGGTTCAGAACCGCTAGAAATGAATTCTCCCTGACTGGGTAGGTAAGACCCAGTGACAACTTGATCCTGAGGAGGCATAAAATAAACACTGCTAGAGGCTGATCCCTGCTGGGAGCCAAAATGATCTGCAGCTACTGGATCACTGGGTATGCCCTGGTCTTGAGATTTAAAACCTGGAAGAAAAAAATATACACACACACACACACACACATCAGTCTTTAAAAAACATTTCCTTTCAAGCAAGTCTAATAGCTCACCTTTTACTGGAGCATTATGAACCTCCACACACAGCAAGGCAAAGAGGGATACCCTGAAAGGATTTTTAGAGAAAATATTTGGAAAGCCTTTCAATTAAACAGTAATCACATTACAACACAACTTTCTCTGTACCTCAGCAAGACCTGTGCAGTCACCATTTTGAAGAGCTGCAATGAAAAAGAGAAGAAGGGAAGATTTTAAAGACTATGCCAACTCCAATCAGAGCTTACCTACCTAAAGCACAGCTGATGACAATTGTGTCTCATCAAGGGGACCAAAACACTGAAAGGCCCAGGTTCAGAAAGTAGGATAGGTGAGAACACAGAATAAAAATATGGGGAAAAGTCCCTTCATACCCAGGATTTTTGCTTTCATAAGGCTGGACAGCTGTTAAAATGAGAGAAGTCAATACTGCAAGTTATTTCAGCAATCAAATTTCACATAAGGTTAATTTACAAATTCTGGGATAAAAGGTTAAGTCATACCTGACTAAGCCAAAAGAGCACATTCTGGCTTTAATTGTTTTACATAGAACAAGCCATTATATATAGGTGCAGCTATTTCAAGCCAATACGTTTAACAAATAAATATATATATAATATTTAGATATAGATCAAATATTTATAATTAGCCTTTCCTGCTAAAATTGAAAGAAAATGCACGCAATTTGAAGAAAGTGTGATTAATAACAGAAATGTGTCATTAAAAACTACTTACGGAGAAATTTCACAGAAATTGTGGTTCAACCACAATTTCTTCCATAAAAGGGTATGCTATTTGACACTTCTTTGTGCAGAAGTTAGCTAAAAAGTAGGAAATACCCAAGGTTAGGCCAACTCCAAACAAGCATCCTACTGTGCAGGAGTTCACCCCAGGAAATCACTCTTAAACTTACTCTGGATTACCACTAACCCTGCTTTGTGAAATTGGCCCATATGTGTTGATAGTTTGCATGCCATCATCAAAACACACTTAGAAGCTTATGCCCTGCTGTTAACAGGGTGAAATGCATTATCAATATTTCATTAATGAGAGCTTCTTATATGATTGAGCAGGTGCTAAACTCAAAGTTAAAAGTATAGTTGTAGATTTTCGTGAATTTTTAAACGACTCGCCCTTTCCTCTTTTCCTCAATAAGGAGGACCACTTATTTTGATGATCCACCTGGAAAAGGAACATCCTCCACTATACCTTTAATTAGATCCTCAGTTTAGTTACCCGATTGATCACCGATTCTGAAACCCAAACTCTGAGATGGGGGAGAGGGGTAGAGTTACTCTACTACTACAGAGTCTGTAGTAATAGACTACCTCAAATTGGTAAGGAAACTTAAACCACAGCAGAAGTGCTTCAGCTGTTGCCATGATAAGTGCTATTCAAATGGTGCTGGCAGTAAGAAGCCAGGACCAGGAAGGAGGACGCTTTCTTCCAGTTCAGTTAGGGGGCAACTGTGCAGCTCCTAGCAGGGGCTAGGAATGCCAGGAGGTCCCTAACTGAACTGGAAGAAAGCGTCCTCCTTCCTGGTCCTGGCTTCTTACTGGACCTCCTTTGCATGACAGGAAGTGTAGGCACAACCCATTTCACAGAGTATACAAAAATATATAAGTTCTTCACTTCTTTTAAAAAATTAGATTTCATGATCAAACCTAATTATTCTTACCAAATACCTTCTTCCCAAATGCTAATTTACGAAAACCAACCCTAGGCATGCTGAAGGCATGCTCTGTTTGGGTTTATACATGTATACTGTAAATGATGAAAATTAAGAATGCTTATCTTTATCTAAATAATTGTTTATTTTTAGGCTTTACAATTATGTGACATGACAAATACCCTAGTTGGAACATTTATCGTTTTAAATTTGTTTTTACACTAATTTGACCTTGTAACGAATTGTCTGAGATCAAGTTTGATTCTGAAAGAGACACAATCAACTGAAATGGCCTTCCATCAAAAATAAATTTGTATTTAAAGAATAATTTTTTTATTTATTTTTGGTGGTGCTGAGGTGCTGAAACTCAGAGGTCTGCAAAGACGTATGTATTTTTCTTCTTTGGTACAGTTAGGGTTGTCTGAGTTTAAAGAATAGAAGAAACACATATAGAGTAAAGTTGCTTGTGGAAATAATGTGAAGCGTACATTAGAATTTATTAACAATAGAAATGCCACTTATCGTTGTTTCAGTAAATCATTTGAAATTTTAATGTCATTCATGTGACTATTTGCTTCAAATGATCTCCCACTTTAATGAGCTGTTTGATTTGTGAATTTAAGACAATTCATTTTGAATTGCTTGAAAACTATGCTATAGCTTTAAAGTAAATCAGTCAATGTTGAACTTCCTACTGTTCTGATCAACACCACAGTCTTAGTTTACTAACAAATCAAATACAATATTCCCATATGGCTGTTTTACAAAAGATTAATCTAAAAATCAAGGATAACAGATACGTTCAGTCTTTATCAATTTCCCCCTTCAAGTAGTGGATCAACTAAATATCTAGACAGCATGACTTTACTTAATGGAAAACACAATATCTTAAGGATTTGCTTGTCTTTTACCCAAATTAGCAACCATTACTATTAAAAATCTACAGTAGAAGTTAATATTGTAACATGCACATATCTGAAACCTGTCAGATTTGTAAATCTTTGACTTTATGGATCTCAGGATCAAATTCCAGCTACATCAAGCCTAGCATCCAGCATAGAAACTGTGTCAAGGATAGACATCCTGTCAATATCTATATAGAACTTTTATGACTAGACCAAAAAGTACCTGTTCACATGTATCTGTATCAAATGTTAACTAACATGCAAATTATTGGTACTAATGACTTACAAAATGACTGCAAACATATTATTATTATATTATATTATATTATATTATATTATATTATATTATATTATATTATATTATATTATATTATATTATATTATATTATATTATTTGTTCTAAGTATTAAATTGCCTCATGTATCTGGCACAGGGAGTGCCCCACCATCCCCAGAAATCCCACCAGAGGAAAAGTTGGACCTTAATTTAAAAAAGCAGACCTATTTTAAAATGGATACAGTGAGGGACAGGTTTTTGAGTCATGAGCTGAGCCAGGCCATGTTGCTCAAGGTGCAGTCTACATAACAGGTCATCTGAAACACTTGGGACATTCAAGTAATTTAATACACATATTAAATATACAGTATGTAATTGAAAATAGGGCTAAGCATAACTCATTCTTACCTGAATGTTTATAATATTTTTTTTAACAATGTGTTTCAGCACACCAACAGCATTAGGAATCCTGCTTTAAAAAATCTAAAAAAGTAGTCCCACCGGCTCTAAAATTTATTTTGATCTATAGCCAAATGAGTGTTACGTGCAATGTTGTAGAATCCTTGCTTGATTTAGTAAATTCCTCTGTTGAAGAAGGTTCTGAAAATGTATGTGTACCCCAAAAAACACTTCCGATAGTGAAGCGTCTTTTCAGAATCTCCTACTGATACATATGATCTGTGTCATGGTCAGGGCATGGCTCTATTTGGTGCAGTGCTGAACTGGGACTAAGCAGTCTGCTCAGATAGCTGATACCACCACCACCAAGCAATAGCACTCATGCAGGTAAATCTCAGGAATAATTCAAATATTGGCACACCCTTGTAAAGCAGGATGCAAATTACTATTAAAGGCCTTTCTGTCAAATTTAGTACAAAAGCGATCTTCCAAAACACAGTCAAACAGTAATTATGTCCACATATTGATTGACTGATTGATTGGCTTTATTGATCTTACAGTGGAGACATTTATTAGTTACATCAGCACAAACAAGAAGAAGAATGTGCCAAAGGAAGAAAAAGGTGCATGGGATATATATAGTATATACAGTGCGTCCACATATGAAAGTTTTTTTTTTTATAGTAGGATCACAGTACAGGGTTATAGCACAGGGTGTTTACATAAAACTATTAAGAAAATAATTGTATAGGGTACAACAATAATGTTAAAGTAATTTAGCTATTTGGCTAATTAACAATATGCATTAGTGTTTTTTTAATAACGGCTCATAAAAAAAAAAAAAAAACAGATAAAAAAATAAATGAGGACAATCAAAATCACTGACAAAATTCATTGGGTTTTAAATATGCATCTACTGGCTGAACAGTTTAATTACCAGAATAAAGCCAGTATGGCTTTTAGCCTGGTCTGGAGCAGACTAGCCCCACTGAATCAATCACCATGGTAACTGATGTGTTTCTGCTTTTTTTTGAAGTTTAATTAAGTAAGGATATCTCAAATATCCAAGCTTAATCCCTTATCTTGGTTTTGTTAAACAGGTCTCAGGGTAAATACTACTGGTTGGGTAGCCAAGATCTTCAGTTTGCTGGTAGTTGTTCCAATGCTCTTTGTCCTTTAAATGATTGGAAGTTTTTCCAGGCTGAAGTAAAACTCCAGGTGGGGGAGCAGGTTAGGCTAAATAGGCTGCAGGATCTGGTTGACTGATCTTTGAGAAACTGATCTTGCACATCTGCTCTGACTGGTTTGAATTCCCAACATCAAAGGTTGTATGATCCAGGTGTCTTCTCTTCGGTAAGAAGCAAAGCCATCTCCACTCTTTGTAAAGCTGCTGGTTTGATTTTGGGATTTTGATGTTGAAAGCAGATACATACAGGCTTACCCTCTTTAGTCATGAATGTTCAACAAATCTTTGATTTGGAGGGGCTTCATAAAAAAAAACCATGCATTTTGCTGGAGCTCTTGTTTGTTCATATAAAGCAAAGTGGAGAGGAAAGAATACGGAGGGAAAACAAAAATGGATTTCAACAGTGATAAAAAACATTTCAGATTAGAGGTAATAGTACAAGAAATAGCCGATAAAAACTTGTGTAGCCATCATACTGACATCCAGTACATTTCCTAAAATGTACGGCCAACCAGTGAGAGAGGATTAAATAGTAGAAATATGATCGAACTTTGATGTGTCTGTTAACAACTGCGGCAGCACTCTGTACCATCTAAAGCTAAGAGATGCTTTCAATGGAAATAATTAGATAACAAATCTAAAATCATTTTATGCTTGAAGTGGTATTACAGAGTTTTACAAATATATTGCCATCAGTGGACAAAACACAAAACTGCAGCACTCTTCTGCTCGTTCTTGTAGCTTGCGCTTGTACTTGAAAAGGTTTCTTGCTCCTGCTTTTTTCACCTTACCTGGATGTCATTGGTCATGTCTGATAATTCACAAAATCCATCTTCAATCTAATGCTTCAATTGGTTGCTGCTACGTCAGCGAAGCAACATCTGAATGGAAGAAATTTAAGGAAAAAAGGCTAAAGACATATAGATGCCAAAGATGAATCATCCAAAGGACCTCAGCAGCTGCAGGCTGGTAGGGCTGACTTCACACCTGATGAAGACCCTCAAATGGTTGGTGTTACACCATCTACGCCCCCTGGTGAAGACTTTATTGAATCCACTGCAGTTTGCTTAACCTGGGATTGGAGCTGATGATGGCATTATTTTCCTTCTTCACCAAGCTCTTACTCACCTAGAGAAACCTGGAAGCACTGTGAGGATCATGTTCTTTGATTTCTCCAGTGCTTTCAACACCATCCAGCCAGGTCTCCTAAGGGACTATTAGAGGACAGACAACCTCAATAAGTTATTCATACTAATTTTGCACCTTTTCTACCATAGATGGTTAAATAGCATGCTGCTGTCTTTTCGTTGACATGTTGCTGCTGTTTTCACATACCAATTACTGTAAAAATTTCCTTAGCTGTATATTGGTTATTTATTCTCCAGGTGCACAGTTTTATATTGTTAACACACTTTACTGTACAGTATTTTATTGTTTTACTTTTTACTCTTCACTATTATGTTATTATTATGTTATACATTTTTTCTAAGGTCCACATTTGTGTGACCATTTTTTCTATAATCTTTTTGCTGCTGTAAACACCAGAATTTCCCCATTGTGGGACAATACATTCTATATAGTCTGCTCTTAAAACTATGTTTTAGTCGTAAAGGGTAAAATAAAAAAGCTATTTCAAAGATATTTTTCAGTAAAAATGTACATAATGTCTTTTTATGTCCAGCCTTCACTTTGACCCCCTAAAATCAGCAACAGTTGGCCTGATGTAGATACTGGGCCAAGGAACCAACACATACTGTATTGAGAGCTTGCAAAGATTTGCATCTTAGTCTTCTTCTTGGTAAGTTTTAAAAAGTTAACAGCCATCTAGACTTTTGTCTTCTAAGCAATTAAATTGAGACCTACAAGAAGTGGATTCCATCTTCTTAAGAAGGACATAAATCTGGATGTCAGGCACATAACAATGAGTGGAGATCCATTATTTTTATAAATGAAGCCAGGAGGGAGGAAGTATGGCTGAAATATGGTCATCAAAAATACAGCTTCTTCAAAAAATACTCTTGCAGTCTTCAACAATACTCCCAATCTATGTTTTGCATTCAGATGGAATAAGTCCAGTATGGTATACATGCAGAAGTGCCATGACTGCCAGAGAGACAGCTGAGTGCTCTCTTTAATGCAGTCAAATGGGGATAAAGGTAATCTTAAGTTAAACTGATCAATTCATGTACTCATTTCCACAAAGTCTGATCCCGACTAATTTCATTTCAAGATGGGACTACAGGGAGAAAATCTGAGCTAAAGAGTTTAAAGTTCAAGAGATACATGAAAAAAACATCTTTACTTATCCTTCCCTACTCTATACCGACACCTTGGAAATATAAATAAAAGATGAGTTAAAATGAGTAGATGGAAATCCTTAATAAACTAATTTGGACACCCTGTAAACACACAGAGCTAGGAGTATTTAACCAAGAAAGCAGTATCTCCATAGTATATTACAGAGAACCTGTGCATTAAATAGATCTGATAATGTCACTCCTGGATCTATGTGTACATCTGTGGTTTCCACAGCAGAGGCAGCTGTCAGGTCTGTAGAACTGGGCCCATGCCATTAGGGCTCTATTTTAGGAACACGTGTTCAAAAGGTCAGATAAAGAAGCATAGGAATCCTTACAAAGCAGAGGGTGGGGGGTAAAGGCGGATAACCACAAACACAAGAGCACATCTTCTGATACACAGCACTGTTGTTTGAGAGGGTAAGAAGCAGAAACTGAGATGTAGAATTAGTCATTTCCAAACATTTGATCTCATTTGATTTAATTTGATTTAAAAATTCAGACAAAGGTAGAGAACATTGTGTCAGTCTAACAGAAAGTCTTTATAGAACCAACAAACTCCCTTCATTTGGACATCATGGATGGAGAATCACCAAACCAAGAGAAAGACGTGACCTCCCAGGCAGAAACCATCACCAAAAAGGAGGTTTGTGTCTTTTTTTGTATGTTACTGTTGCTTGTACAATGAAAGCTTACATTGTTAGAACATAGTCTGGCTTTATGGACTCTACCGGGATCGGGCAACTGGTGCGTTTGTAGCCACAGCAGGTGTTGTGGATCGGTGATTCTGGATGTCATGTTACACCTGTTTTTATTCCTTTCTGGAGAATGACTCATAAGTTATACAGCGGCGTGATGCACACAGAGCCTGCTCTCTCCTTGGTGTTTCCTATTCTTGATGATGACTCAGTTCAAAGAGAACTGACCTGGTGTCACTTTCATTTCATTCAACTCAGTTGATTTAGCACTTAAGTTACTTTACAAAAAAATTAAAATAAAACTCAATTCAATTAAATCATTCAGACAGACTTTAAGACAAGTAGATCAGTTAAAATAATCCTCGTTATCTAGGTTTGCAGCCATGTTGTTTATTATTCAGGTTAGTTAAAATGTGTGTTTGTTTTTTTTTTTATCAAAGAAAAAGCGGGAGGTTTAATTGGTTCTTGACTTGCAGCATTCACTCCTTCTAGAGAGATTTGGAGCCCAAAAGGCATAGGCATTTTCTTGTCCTTGTCAGTTTTTCTATTTCTCTTGTCCTCTATTTCTGTCCTTTTAAACATCTTTTTGACCTATTTTCTTGTTGCCTTGATCTCCGTGTTTTCTTAACTCATAGTCTTTGTATTTTCTTCTTTTTGTCCATAAAACCCTTTGTGTGAGTATTGGCCTCAGAAAATCTCACAATGAAGAGATCTGTATCCAGGGATTTAAAAATCCCAAAGGAAAAATATTTCCCTGAAAATCCAATACTTACAGTATTTGCTAATTTTAACAAGCCACCCTAGAGATACCTTCATTTATTTGCCATCACTACCACCAGTATGCTGGGGGCTGTAGCACAGGGCACATCTTCACCTTTTACTTGCAGTGAGCATTCACCAAATCCATTTCAAAACTTAAAATAGAACATGGCAAAAAAAAAAGCTGTACCAATGAGCCTCTTTTAACATTATCTTTTTCAGTTATAATAACAATAAAATATATAAAACAAAAATGCAATTTATGTTCATTTTGCCCTGTTAGTAAGATCTGCACACAACTGGCTTTGTTTCAAAGTTAAACAGTAAAAGGGTAATGGCAATAGTTGATCCTTAAGTGGCTTTATCCTATAGAGAAACACTGCGTAAGATAAGCTATGAGCCAAGTCCAGATGATAAAAGACAGCATATGTGGTAAGTTACAGTATATACTCAAACAATAGTTATGTGTTAGAAAAATGGGTCCACTGAAAGACAGGGTCAGGTGTTTTATCAAAAGAAGGACATGAAGTTGCTGGCAGCAGTAGCAGCAGTACTTCCTATTGAGGACGGTGTCACAGCTAAAAACACCCTTCCTATTGCATCTATTCTCAAGAAAAAAAAAAAAAGAAAGAAAATTTCAAAGCTGAAAAAACAGAAAATTATGCAAATGTGTGAATAGTAGAATTAGCAGAGTGAGGTAAAGTTGTCATTATGTCCTCCAGCAGCCAAAGGACAAATGAAGGAGAAACACATGGACTAGTTGTTGGGTGTCACCTTGGTCAGGATATGTTTAATTTGGGTATTATTCTGGTGAAAGAAGGAAATCCTACAAACTTCCTTAATATGCGTTTTAAATCAACTTTTCTTTTGAATTAACACCACAGTTTATCGACTTATTTTCAATTTTCACTATTACTGGATACCAAATTCCTTATTCAGTGATTAGCCAAGCAGTTTATTTTCCAGAGTCAACCTGTGTCTTGTCTGAATGTAAAAGCAAAAAACTGTCATAAAGTCATGCCTGTAGACTGTCTGGCTGGATTTATATGTTTTTATGAATAAAAATAGCTTATCGTCATTGGCATACCAGTGTAAATCTATTCCATACTGTGTTATGATTTCATTAATTGGATGCATACTTATAGAAAATGAGAACTGAACCCTGTGGAGCTTGACCTGTGACCTCACTTTTAGATGGAAAATGTATCCTTGACAAGAAAAAAAAAACTTAATCTGTGGGACAAATGGTGTTTTTTTCCTGGACTCCTCAAGCGTGTTCAAGCCTATCTAAGAAAATATTGTGATCAGCTGTATCAAAAGCAGAGGTGTCAGGTAACAAAGTATGAACACTTTGTTAGGTATACAAGATGTTGGCTCTCTATACTTTATTGGAGTCATTATTTTTTAAAGAACCTTTTACTTCTACTCCTTAATTTTTTATTTTTTTTTTGCAATTAACTCTACTTTCCACTACTTACATTCTAAAAATAGACTTGTTAATTTTGTTTAATTTAAGTTCGTTTTCATTATAGCTGGTTGGTATAAATAATTAAGAACCCTCAAAATAATTGATTTCATCCAGATAGTGAATTTCTCTGTGGTTGGACTCGGTACTACACCAACTTGTTGTTCGCCACCTATCAAAAAAAAATGTTTTTAAGGATGATGCAAAGTAAAATTTGACATTGTTGCCATTAGTTATAAAACAAAAAAAAATTAAGTATACAGAAGTTATCATCCAGAAAATATTGAAAAATGTTCCCTTAATAGGGTAATGAAGTAACCAGTATGAGCTTTAAAGCTTGTCCTTAGCATTTTTCCTACTTTAATTTTACTTTTATACTTTAGTTAAGTAAAAAGCTTAAGGTGACGCACTAACTTCTACAAGAGTGTTTTTTAACAGTGGGATTTATACTTCTATTTGAGTAATAAATATAAATAGTTTTCACACCTCTGATCAAGTCTATTACCTCAGGCCATGGAAACACCATTTGCAACTTTCACCAGAACTGTTTCAGTGCTTCTTGATATAGGTTTACAATTTTGAATTGCATCCTGATCAGAAAATTATGTTGTTGTTTTTTTTCAAGTTAAAGTTTATTTACAGTTACCTTAAAAGCCTGCAGTATGTATCATTGCACTAGTGATATATTAATCATTTCTACATTTCTCTGCAGTAAAAAGGATCATTTCACATTAGGGGTGCTTGAATAATCTTAATTTCACAGATGTCTTCTATCTATCTATGCAGATAGACACAGACATACATACTTGCACACATATATCTTAACTTGTACTTTTGCATCTTTTTTGTTCATTAAAGTTATTTGCTGTATGACCTAGAAAAGTCAAAACTTTAAACATATTTTAGATAAGTATTCAAAATCCCCAAATTAATGCCATTCTCTCTGACACTTCATATTATTGTTTTTATTCTTATCCAGGCAAATGAGTCACAACAAGATGGATGTGAGGGCACTAATGACACACCAGAACCTCAAGGGGTAACTGAGGTGGAAGAGAGTGACGAGCCAGAAAAAGCACAAGATAAAGCCAATGCTGAAGATACAAACAAGATGCAAAGCTTCTCTCAGCCTGCTGAAGAGGCTGGACAAGATAAAAACACACCGGCTGCTGATGATGTGAAAGACACTGATACGGTAAAAGAGAAACAAGATGGGAAAGAAGATTTGGAAGATGGAGACAAGGAAGAAGAACCGGTGAAAAAGATGCAAAATCAAGAAAATGAGAATGACAAAGAGGAGATCAAAGACAAGGAGGAGGGTGAAATAAAGGGAGAGAGTCGAGAAGATGCTAAAAACAATATATCTAAAGAGACTGAGCCAGAAAAAGAGATGACTGATAAAGGAAAGGTAAATGAGACTGAAAAACAAACAAAACCTAAAAGAAAGGGCGGGGCTCCCTCTTCTATCTCTCGACCAAGATCCTCTGCACGCTCTATTAGAGCATCCAATAGAAATGATATTATTGCAAAGTTCCAAAAAGGTGCACCAGAGTGAGTAACAACCATGGGATACTTAAACTTTAACATTTAAATATGATTTAACACATTTTAAAGGAAGCTGTATTTTGTTATTGATCTTTGGGGTTTTTTTGTAGGACACCGATAGCTCGCAATTTCAAAATTCAGAAGTCCTCTAGTGCTGGGGCAACAGGAGCTTCAATCAAACAGAAGATTCTTCAGTGGTGCCGCAACAAGACACGCAAATATGAGGCAATCTCATCATGTTAAACCCAAACTGTTTAACACCAAACAAATGTGGAGCAGAAGAAATGACCTGTACTGTTCTTTGGTTCCTATAGGGTATAAATATTGAAAACTTTTCCTCATCCTGGAGTGATGGGCTCGCATTCTGCGCTCTAATCCATCGCTTCTTTCCTGACGCTTTTGACTACAGTTCTCTAAAACCAGAGGAGAGGGAGAAAAACTTCACGCTGGCCTTCCAAACAGCAGAGTAAAAAACTTTTTATGAGATTAAGTATATCAAAATTCAAATTTAAATTGTTTTTAAAACAAATGTTATTATTATAAAGACACTTCCATGACCTTTGTGTCTGACTGTTGCTGTCATACTCCAGGTCCCTAGCTGACTGCTGCCCTTTGCTAGAGGTGCCGGATATGATCATGATGGGCAACCACCCGGATCCCATGTGTGTGTTCACATACGTGCAGTCCCTCTGCCACAGCCTCTCCAAAATAGAGAAAGAGAGGAAGGACAAGGAGAAGGAGAAGGCTGACAATGAGAAAGAGGAGAAAGAGGAAGGTAATGACGAAATGGGAGAGGAACCACGCGCTGACTGTGAGAAGATGGAGGAGAAGAAAGAAGAAGATGACAAAGAGTCAAACAGAAAGGAAGAAGAGGAAGACTGTCCAAAGATGAGTCAAGATGAAGATATTGAGGGAGTTTCCGTTGAGAGAGAAACCTAGAAAAAATGTGAGAGATAAGATAAAAGACCGAGAATATCTCACATTTCTGCTGACAGTAGTTTAGTTTTGGGTTGCATAAGTTGGCTGTCTCAACTCAGACACTTTTTTTTTTATTGTTCTAAATATATGGAGGTTTGTTTGGGGGTTGGGGTGTCACTGTTCTGTATCTATTAAGTTTTTGTTTTGAGCACACTTCCAAAAATATATAAATCTATGTAAATAAAATATTATATGAGGGATTAAGTGTTTGTATTTCAAAGATCTATTATATTCATTTTAAAACTCATCTTTCACTTTAACATGCATATAGAGAAACATTAAATACTGTCCACATGGCACTTCCAGCAACAGTTTTTGGCATTGGCAATATAAGTCTCTGTCCAGAGCGGCACAGAATAGGATCTGCCATCAGAACAATGGAAATATTTTCAGTTGTCTGTTTTTTCTTTTAATGGTGATGATGAAAGTAGGATTTAATTTTGTGATTGCTTTAGTTGTTATGCTTTTCCATGAACAATACAGATTATCATCATTTCCCAATTACTGTGTTTGCAATTGTCAGGACTGGGGTTTGAGGACCCAAATGCAGAGGCAGGGAGGCAGAGGTGAGTTTCTTGAAGGTTTAATGAACAGTTAACCGACTATAGAGGCAGGAATCCAAAAAACCAAAAAGTCAAATGTGGAAAAAAAGTCAAACAAAGCAGAAACCATGGAGACATCAGAGGAAAAACAATTACGACGAGAAAGACTCAGAGAGACAGAGTTGGAGAAAGTTAGATGAGGAACCAGCACTGAAGAACTGCACAGAGAGAGTATTTATAGGAGACTGAAACAAAGAGAGGGCTAATGAGCAGATTGGGAACAGGTGTGAACAGAGCAGAACAGGAAAGGAGCTAGGGAAAAAGGAGAACACAAGAGGGCAGCAGAGGGAAACAAATAAAATCCTGAAAATAACCAGAAAACACAACAAAATAAGAAATAAAACACTAAAACTAGAAAACATGGAGCAAAGTAAAACTGAATACTCAAAAGAAAACATAACAAAACCAAGACTGTGACAGCAATTACACTTCTTTTATTAAGAAAGATAATTATAAAGGTAAATTATAGTTAATAATTTATCATTGTAATCTAAATTCATCCACAACAAGAATAAATTTATATAACTTTGATTAATAGCTACCAGCCTTCAATGGTTATAGTTAACAATTAGATACTAATAATTAGATACTAATTATTAACCAGTTAGGGTGGATATTAAAACTAGCCATGGGCCTGTGTTGAATCAACTACTAGTAAATAGAAACATTTTTAGTATATAACTACAATTGATAGCTTTACATTTTTAACTAAACCCCTATAAAATGTCTCTATATAGTATTTTTTTTTTCAGCACTGGCCCCTAGTAGAGATAACAGTTAATTGACATAAAATAAGCACAGACAACTAAACTTTATATAGACTGATGTGTATGAAAAATGTTTTTTCCTCTTCAAACCATTTTTCTGTTCAATAATACTACCAGAACGCACACAACTACCCAGAGAAGGAACGCAAAACAAAGGGAAAGCAGCAAAAATTATAAATCTTGATACCAGCAAGACCAGCAATTTAAACAGTTACTTAAGCTTTGACAGCAAACCAGCAAATATGCAATAAACAGAGCCCTAAAGCGATTTAAGAGATTGCAAAATTATTGGAACCCTGTATCAGGAACGACAAAGGAAATATGCTATCATCCATCCATCCATCCATCCATCCATCCATCCATCCATCCATCCATCCATCCATCCATCCATCCATCCATCCATCCATCTTATCCTGCTAATCCATCAGGGTCACAGTGGGGCTGGTGCCTATCTCCAGCAACTTATAGGTGGGGTACACCCTGGTGAGGTCACCAGTCTGTCACAGTATAGCATTTACTGTCACAGTTTCAGCATTTAAGTTTAGTTCTAATTAACTCCCTGTCCAGGTAATTTTGAAGTAGCAGAAAAAAAAGACATGTTTTACTTATTGATGTCTTCTCTGGAAGCAAGCTAGGTGGTCCTCGCTGTAGCTTTGCAAGCAGCTTCAGCGACAAGAGGAGGAGAGCAGGCTGCTGCAGCTCTCTTTGGGAGGCAGGCAGTGTGGTCATTGGTTCTTGGCCATGGCTCAGCTCGGTTTGGTTTGCACCAGGAAGAGGCAAACTGTAGGTTCATTGCTGCTGTTGCAGCTGTACGCTCCTTGCTGCTTTGATTCAGAGGAACTGGTAAAACCACAAGATACCTTTCAGATCAGCCATCTTTAGATGATCAGTCATCTAAAGATAACTGATCTGCAAATCTCTGCTAATCCTCGGATTTTCTCTGTTGTAGTAAAAACAGAGGCAGTGGTGTCTTGGAAGAATTTTGATGAGAGGCAATCAGAGAGCTCTGCAGACAATCCGTTCATGTAGACTCTAAGCTTAAAAAGTTCTTCAAAGGAAAGTTGAGGAAGGATTAGGCAAGAACCATTAGGTTCATCATGAGTTTCCAAACCCACTGAGGTAGAGATGATGGGTCCGTTTTGTGCAGAGTGGCAGATTGTGTTGCATTTTATCACCTATGTTGTGATGTCAGAGCTCCAAAGCATGCTGGTAGCTGTAGCTACAGTTTGTTTATAATTATCGCACACCTGATTTTAGCACTTAGAATAATAACACTGACACCCAGTTCTACATATTATGGAATCTTGTCCTAAATTGCCACTTCTTCAAAGCATAACTCTTGTTTTTGTTTAGTGTTAATTAAGCATTTTTACAATTGTGTGGCAATGGTTTATTCTCCAGGTAAATCCCATTCCCTACATTAATGTTGATTGATTTAAAAAGTGGACTGTTCTGCAAGAAATCAAACCTGTATTCAATACAGGTCATGCCTAGGTTGAATTTTATACAAAAGGTTGATAAAAAAAAAAAATCTACAAGCTGAAGCCTATAAAAATAAGAAGGGGTCTAAACCATGTAAGTGAATTGCGTGTGCTCATTCATCTATCTACGTAATTGTTCCATGCAGATTGGACAATGTTTTTAACCAATGCATTAATCCTGACCAAAGAAAGTTTAAGATAGTTTTTATTATTTTTTTTCCTTTATTGTTTAGGAAAATAAAACATCAGAGTAGATCCAAGGCAAAGTACAGATGAATGAAACATTCTAAAGACAAAGAAAAGGTAACAAACGCAGATGGCCGCTCACACTGAGCCTGGTTCTGCTGGTGGTTTCTACCTGTTAAAAGGGAGTTTTTCCTCTCCTCTGCCACTACAAGCATGCTTAGTGTGAGGGATTGCATTCGAGTCAATGAGTCGATGCAATCAATTAGTTTTCCTTAGATAGAAAACTTTGAATAAATTTGACTGTAAGATCTGGTGAACTGTAAAGTGCCTTGAGATGACATGTGTTGTGAATTGGCGCTATATAAATAAACTGAATTGAATTGAATATTTTTTTAAATAAAAATAACGTTCTAATAATAATTTATTTTATGACTTATTGTTTATTTTGCTTTAGAATACAGACAAATTCAAACAACCGCAAACAAATATTGTAGAAACTCTCCCCATCTTTCATTGTACTTCTTCGTGTCATTCATCAGACTGTATGATATTTTCTCAAATGCCGCCACCTTACCCAGTTCCCAGACCCAATCCTGAAATAATGTGCCTGCAGCATCTTTCCACTTTCTCATTATTATCTGTTTACCAATCATGATGCTTTTCTGGACCCAGTTAGCAAAGGGTTTTGCCACGTGGTTAAAATATTTAAGATTTCCTAGTATATAGAGTTAAGGGCAGAGTTTGTAGTGCATCCCAACAATCTCTGAATTATAATTATGGATCTTGGTCCAGAAAGCCTGTTCATTTGGGCATGACCACAGTGCATGAATTAAGTCCACTACCAGCCCGTTCATTCTCATAGTACATTTTAAAAAATCTGAAAAGCCCAAATCTGAAATGAATTGAGGATTCCCTCCTGAATTTTGTGACCAAAATAAATTAGCTGATTCAGGTTGCACTTGGCAGAAATAACATGTAACGTCTCTAAATTGTACAGAAGAGGATTAGGGCCACAAAAAAAGAGAGAGATTAAAGTCAGAATTCTGAGAAAACAGTCAGAATTTCAGAATTCTGAGATTAAAGTCAGAATTCTGAGAAATAGATCAGAATTCTGAGATTCTTTGCTCCGGATACACTGCGATGGGAAGAAGCTGCTTCAACACTTCAAGTGCACCCTTATTATAGACTTTACAGTAAATACACGGCGAATGAAAACGGCTTCATCGTGTACCGACTTCCTGTTTTCAAAATAAAACTGTGGGCCTAGATTTTGAAGCCAAGAAACTATCAAACTAGAATATTGGTATTTATCATATTTACAACAAATAAACATTTTTTAGAGATTTCATATTAAAGCTAAAAGGTGTATCTCATGAAACCAGTGTAGTACCATGGTGTCTTATAGATTTCGTGTCAGTCCATCACAAAACCTATTCTGCAAAACTGCCAATATCTACACATAAATATTATTTAAAACTATTAAGAGACTTGAAATGCAAAAATAAAAAAGATGTTTCTCCTGAAGCCAGTGGAGAACTATGATCCAACACTAATTTTGAGTCAATTCATCACATGACCTGGTAGCTGTTGAGCATAAGTCCTAATATTTTCATATAAAAATTTGATATTAAAGATTTGAAATGCAAAAATAAAAGACATACCTTTTGAAGAGGACACAGTGCTATGATCCAACACTGATTTTGAGTCAATTGGTCACATTACCTAGAAGCTATCGAGTAAATATGCTAATATTTCTATATAAAATTAATTTAAAAATATAAAACTTCTAAAACTAAAAGCTAAACTAAACCAAAAACTTCTGAAAGCCATTTTACCTTAGTAGCCAAAAAGTTCTAGGTAGAATGTTGGTTGCTAGGCAACGGTACCAAACGTCAATCGGCCGCGGGAAGAAATTACAATGCCACTAATAGAGCCGTCAAATGACGGCTGTGGGAGATCGAGGTCAAATTAACCATATTTATTTTTTACCTTTTAATTTCCTTTAAAAGACCACATGAAAATGAAGGAATTATAGAAACAGAAAAAGTCAGTTAACATGCAACATAACATTGATTTTAAATAAACTTCTTTCCCTTTAAAATCTCAGAACAGTCAAAATGACGGCCTTGGGAGTTCTAGTGTTAAGGAAAAAATATACAGGTTTTTTTTTTTTTTTGGAAGATTTTAATATACGTGTTTGAATTTGTTTTGCACCATTTGTTTTAGATTAATAATAAAACTGAATGACAGACATTTTTGATGTGCAACTCAGACCACAATTTGTGTAGCCTACTTGTACTCAAAATTTGAAGAGGTGTAACTTTTTTTTGTTGTTGTGTCAGATTGAAAAAAAAATATAGTTACAAAACACCAAAGTTACAATGCACAAATAATTTTGCAACAAACGTTCTGAACCATCTGAAGCAAAACTGAGAATGTAAGAGGTTTTTGATGTGCAACTTGTAGAACATAACTTACTTGTACTTATAATTTAATATAAGATAAGATAATCCTTTATTTGTCCCACAGTGGGGAAATTGCAGCCTTGCATCACAGTGAACAGTACAGTAGGAAAAAAAGAAAGAATACAAAATATAAAAAATAATATAAAAATATATAAAAATATATATATTAAGTATATACAGGTACATTTGAACAGGTGTAAAAAAAAATTGTACTTGTTTTTTTATTTATTTTTTTATTCTACACAAACAAAACGTGCAATGTAACTCTTTCTACAACTTCAAATCCACACTTAGAATGCAAAAATAGTTTTGCATTGTAAGTGTGGTCCTTGCCGAAAATTGCATCCCGTGCTATCTCAGAGGAGTTTACACTTGTATGACTGTATTCCTGTATATCCATCACTAGTTAAAAGACAAGGGTCAGCAAATGCAGATTCTTCCCTGTAAAAAAAAAATGACAGCGCAATTGTCACTGTATGATCTGAAGCTTCATTTGGAGATTTTAAACAGGCTTTTGAAAAACTTTGATAATTTGCTGCTGTAATATTATAGATTTTTTAGAATAAAAGGCTAGCAGATCTGCATAATCAAAAAAAAAAACAGAAATACAACTATAGAGCATTCAGTATTGTAAGAAAGCCCACAGTGTTTCTGAATAAATATGAGTTCTGTTCCGTTTGTGCCTCTTTCCTTGTAAGTATGAAATATCCTATGCTCCTGAATGCACCATAGCTTTCTGACGCTCCTGAATGCATCACACTGGTCTGTGTAGATGCGCGTTTGATTTTTCCCTTAAGACAAAAGCTTTGAAGTTTCAAAACTCACCTCGGCTATTACTGTTTATTGTTGTGTGTGAATAAAAAGAGACTACAACAAATAAATCAGCTTTACCTCGGACAAATCTTTGGATTTAATGTTGTTCATAACACCCTTTACTTTTGTAAATGAATCTGCCAAATAAACACCTTTTTTTTCCCACGAGAGGTATATTTAAACGTTTTTATATCATTATTCTAACAACAAGTTGCTCCATTGGTCAGATTTTAATCCGTTTTCCTCGTCGATATGCAGTTGTACAGAGCGAGGCGCGCCCCCTCGCGACTGGGGATGCATATCTCGGCAGACATGCACTTTTCGACATAACACCTGTATGTGGGGGTGTTATGCCCTAAAATAACAGGCATGCATTTTTGGGCATAACAGTTGTTCCACCCAAAGAGCATCAACCCCATTCGCGTCAGAACCCTCTTCCGTAAAATTGTGATTGAAGACGAGCTGCTTCTGCAAGAGTTACGGTAATCGTCCTTTGACAACCCGGAAGGAAGGCCATTACGCCTGGTTATCAGGGCTCGCGCAGACCGTGCAGCGTTGTTTTCCAACCTTTCCCTGCTAAACATGTCCGCAGACATGCCAGCTGCACTCGACAGCCTAAACATGGAGTCCCAGCTTCACTCCATCATGAACGTGTTGGTGAAAGCTGCCGTGGCGGAGATTGTTCAGCTCTTCTTGGAGAGTTCCGAGTCTCTGCGGCTGCATCTGAGCCAGAGTCTGAGGGAGAACGAAAACCTGAGGTCGAGGATGAAGATGATGAGGAGTGAGCTGTTCTCCCTGAAGCTCCAAACCCGGACGAACCAACCGACCAGCCGCTTCTCTGCCCTCAGAGCGAATATAAGCAAACCCCGGCCAAAACCGCAGGGTAACTACCCTATTTCCTTAAGCACTACTTTTAATACAGTAAAATAACCCCAAACAAAAGAGGAACGCCACACATCTAGAGAGAAGCATGTTGTTTATTGCAGGGCCGACCTGAGATTATATGGGGCCATAATCACAGTGTAATTGAAGGGGGGCAATTCGAGTCTGAATACAGGACCTGATATTTCCCTTTTAGCAACCACCATTCCCCATATCTAGATGTTGGAGGATGTATGCAGAATTTCTGTTATTTTTTATGTTTATTGAATTCAGACTGATCTATGTGAAAAACCAAATTTACATTGGCATTGGCCTATATCAGGGTTCTGAAACGTTTTCCAGGTTAAGCATGAGGTTCCGTTTGTATCAAAAATAAGCAGATGTCAAATGTCTAGATGTTGTGCTGTTGTTGCATATGTGTTGTCTGCATATGTATAAGTTGCAAATGTATTTGTTGCATATGTAGATTCTGCACATGTCTAAGTTGCATCTGTAGATGTTGCATCTGTCTATGCTGCATTTACTGTACTGCTGCCTCTTGGCCAGGTCTCCCTCGAAAAAGAGATTTCATCTCAAGGGACTTCCTGGTAAAATAAAGGTTAAATAAAATAAAATAAAAATAAATAGGTCTATGTTGCATCTGCAGATGTTGCCTCACTGTAATCTTGCCAGTCTGCATGTCTGAAACATCTGTGATTGGTTAGTGCCTCTGCTCTCAGCTGTTGGTCCATGTCGTTGCTTCTTGTTGTTGGTCTTGTCGTATTATCCCGTCGCTATTTGAACCTACGCCCCCTCCTTCCTCCTTTGCTGTCCTAATTAATGCCTGAAGTAAATACGAGATTTGCCAAAATCTAAACATTTCGTAGTTATTGATAAAGACAACCTTTCAGTAATTTCTAATAAACACAAAATAATCTACTTCCATTTTTTGTAATGGCGAGGGAAACAGGCATCCAAGACCAACGACATGGACCAACAGCTGAGAGCAAAGGCATTAACCAATGCATCATCTACATAGGCATCATGGACATATATGCAAAATCTACATATGCAATATAGACATATACAGCATCTACATATACAACATAGATGTATGCAACATCTACATATGCAACATAGACTAGGGTTGTCACGATACTAAACTTTTCAACTCGATACCAATACTAAGTAAAATATTTGATACTCGATGTCATTTTCGATATCACATGGATAAAAACAAAGACTCCAAAATTCAACAGAAATTTTTTCATTAATAAACAAAATACAATAGATAGATAAATAAATACAATAAACAATATTTTGAGGTTGAATGCTGTGCACAATATTAAGCAAGCTTGATAAAAAACTTACAAAATTAAAATTAAGTTTTCCTTCCTTGGCTATTCTTTACACACATAATAGTGACACTAGCCAAACCAGTTAAAAAACAAAAATAATTCTCAGCAGCTGCACCTGTTACAGAAAAAAGTCTGAAACCGAAAAGTGCCCAGAATTATTCAATCACACAGTGTTCAGAAAGTGCATTTTCCTCTAATCTCCGCATAAGATGAATGACTGTTTCGGTGCCACTGGGGGTAGCACTGTATCGATACTTTTGAAAATGAGTATTGTATCCGGATACAACTTTTCAGTATCAATACTTTTTTGAGTATCGATACTTTTGACAACCCTAACATAGACATATGCAGAATCTACATATGCAACAAATACATGTGCAACTTATACATATGCAGAGAACAGATATGCAACAATGGCATAACATGTAGACATTTTACATCTGCTTATTTTTTATACAAACAGAACCCCAAACTAATGGAGCGGGGACCCCCTGATTATATATATATTGTATGAAATTGTGTTATATCAAACTGGTCCTATAGTCACTCTATTACAGATGGTGTCATGTAACGGAAAAAATTTTGCCCTGGGATTATTATAGTATTTCTAATTCCTCATTGATGGGACAGGTGTTGTGAATAAAACGGTGCCCAGCTTGAAAGAGCTCCTGTGTGTCGCTGAATGTGTGCATTGATGACTGAAAGACATCTTCTGCCTCCATTTATTTGTTTACTACATTAATTCATGTCAATCTGTATTTAAAGACATTTCAATTAGTGGAAAAATTGCAGGGGGGGCTATTTAAAAAAAAAAAAACAAGTCTAATCAACCAAAACTTTCATGACCCCCATGCATAACCTCAGAGGACCCCCATTCAAGACCTCCGGACTATATGATAGGACTGGGTGTAAAGATGATGGTTTCATTTTGGAGCGTGTTTTTGACTCATAAATGTAAACAATGAGCTAAGTGAATTATTTAAAATGAAAAGGCAACAATTTAAGATATTGCAGTTGTCTTCTATAGTTTTAATATTGTCTTATTCAAATTTTGATGCATTAAAGTATGAGGTTTTAGTTTGACCTTTTTGCTCTTCTCCTTATAAGAGTAGCACATCTGTAACGAATTAATAACAGATGATTAATCAATTGGGCTATCTGCTCTGACAGATGTAATCAAGTCAGATGCAGAACAAACAAGCTGTTCTCAAAATGCCAAACGTGTTACCTTGTTTAGACTCATTAGTAGCGCTCCTTTAGTTTTCAAACTAGGACTTAGTGTCCTTATAAAAGTAAATTTACCAAGAAGCTGAATCTGCCTTTCCTACAATTATGGTAGAACTACATCAGCCTTCTTTCAACCTGCTGACCACCTCTGCCAAGCAGTAAAGTTTGCCTCAAATTGTGACTTGCACCTAAAGCTAAAACCCACTAATGAGCTGGATCATTACCAAATTGAAATGAATTGTTCCATGGCACAAGGAACACCTCTGTTTAAAAAAAAAAAATAGAAATGATAAACTCAGTTCAAAAGTTTTCAATTGATTCTGCTAACAAACCAACAATGTTCTTTTATCTTGTGTTTTTGACTTCAGTAAAATACCTTCTGACTTTTTGAGTCTGATGCTGATGCTGCCAAAAGTCACTGCTGCCACCCTCTGGTTTAGTGGGGAACTGCTTGGTCTGCCAAATATCCCTATCTCACAATGTTGGAGACTCTTTAAAAAAAAAGGTGTA